AGAGATCTTCATCTGGCCAAATATTAATAGCAAATGATAAAAAGAGGAGTGATGCCAAATTAACAAAACCCCATCTCTGAAAAGTCTCTGGGAGTCAGCTACCGTACATGGCAGCATCAGGTGCAGCGTATCTACTGGAAAGTTGAGATAACTTTTTTGGGAAACCAAGGGTTTGGACTTTTATGGGCGGCATAGGTGTCAACAGCAGATCTTGTCTATCGAATGCACAGAAGCCCACCAAAACTGCACGTTGTTGTCATGCCATAAGCCACTGTCAGTTTTATGGTAGCAACAAGAGTCTCTTCCCATGCACAGGACTCCACTAGAGTGGGAGCAAACAAAGGGTCTCACCCTGAAGCATTCAGCTGTCCGCATGAAACAGAATGCCTTACATAAAGTTACCAGAGACATTTATTCCACTAATGACATCCCAGCAGGAGGACCATCCAGTCGAGGTGCCACAAAAGGCGTTGCAATAAATCCCCTTCTCCCCATTTTAAGTTGCAAAATCCAGGCCTGTATTTCCCAAGGGAGTTAATTGCAGATGAGTGCTTAGCAGGATTTTTAGGAGCGCCATGGCATCCATTCTCCTTGGTCTCAGGCAGCTAATGATGAAAGGACCTTAGGTGCTGTGACACTGCAGACAGTTCTCCATACACTGAGTCCCCAGGAGCTGTGCTGCTTCTTCTGATGGCCAGGGACCTAGTAAGGTCCATCCAGGTAGTCATTTTTGAAAATATTTCAGAGAGAATAGAGAGAAAGAAGGAGAGGAAGGCCTGGTCTGTTAGCCACAAGCTGTCCATGCTCCCCACTTGTCATGCCCAGATAAAATCACCGGGCCCAACTGTTATTCTGTCAGCATTCAGCAGAAAACAGCAGAAAATGATCTGCAAGAACATAATCATTAATGTTCTAAAGCTGGGCACAGGACTTTGCGTGACCCCTAATCAATCCAAAGCACTATGGAGTACCTCCCATATCTATTATCCCAGTTATGTTATCCTGAAATATCCAGGGCAATGGGATCATTTGTTACCTCACATTCAGATTTCATCCCACTAAAAAGCCCAGATTCTTTCTGGACAGATTTTGCATCCTTTTCTTGAGATTATCTCACCTTAAATGTAATACTCTACTCTTCTTTCTACCATATTTGACTGTACTTATGTCAAGCCACCCCTTTAATGTAGCAAGTTCATTTGGAAATCCATTTTCTTAAGTGCTTGAGCTTCATTTCACTCTTATCAGAGAAGAAAATTAGACTAGCTGGATATCATTTGTTTTGGATAAATTCATGTCAGCTGTTTTTATCACATCATCATTCTGCAGTTTTAAAGCACACAATGTTGTTTTTGCTTTTTTTTTCCAGTATTTTTCAATGTATTTGAGATAGCTGAGACAGGCTGGCTGATCTGTAATTCTTGGTAACTCATAATTCTTCCATATTTTTAAATATAATTTTTACTATTTGAAAAAATTACTGTGGCTGACTCTTTAATTATACCAGAGAAACTGTCATCAGGACTTGAGTACATTTAATTCAAATGTTCTTTCACTTTTTTTTTTTTTTCCCTGTGGTCTGTGTTTCAGTTCCCTTGCTAGCTCTAAGAGTATATGGCCTCTTGTATCAGGTAAGCTCTATTCATAAAACTGCTTCACACTTCAGCCTGCCCTGTCATTTGTCCTTTGTTTGCCATCCCCCTGAAGTGATAATCTTTTTCCTTCTTTTCCTCTCATATATTTTTCTGTCCCCTTTTACATTCTTTACACGTTAGCCTTTCTCTTTTGCTAATCATACGATCATAGAATCATTTAGGTTGAAAAGACCTCTGAGATCATGAAGTCCAACCATTGAGCTAGCACTGCCAAGTCTACCATTACGCCATGTCCCTAAGCACCACATCTACATGTCTTTTGAAGACCTATAAGGATGGTGACTCAATCACTTCCCTGGGCAGCCTGTTCCAATGCCTCACAACACTTTCAGTGAATACATTTTTCTTAATGTCCAACCTAAGCTTTCTGTGGCACAACTTGAGACCATTTCCTTTTGTCCTATTGCTTGTTGCTTGGAAGAAGAGACCAACCCTCACCCCACTAAAGCCTCCTTCAAGGTAATTATAGAGAGCAATAAGGTCTCCCCTGAGACTCCTTTCCTCCAGGCTGAACAACCTCAGTTCCCTCAGCCATTCCTCATAAGACTTCTCTTCTAGACCCCTCACCAGGTTTGTTGCCCTTCTGTGGACAGGCACCAGCACCTCGATGTCCTTGTACTGAGAGGCCCAAAACTGAGCACAATACTCTAGATGCAGCCTCACCAGAACTGAGTACAGGGGACAATCACTTTCCTAGTCCTGCTGGCCACACTATTTCTGATACAAGCCAGGATGCTGTTGGCCTTCTTAGCCACCTGAGCACACTGCTGGCTCCTATTCAGCTGGATATCGACCAATACCCCCAGGTCCCTTCCCATCAGGCAACTTTCCTGCCACTCTTCCCCCAGCCTGTTGCACTGCATGGGGTTGTTGTGGCCCAGATGCAGGACCCAGCATTTAGCCTTGTTGAACATCATACAATTGGCCTCAACCCATTGGTCCATCCTATCCAGATTCACAGAATCACAGAATCACAGAATTTCTGGGTTGGAAGAGACCTCAAGATCATTGAGTCCAACTTCTGACCTAACACAAACAGTCCCCACTAAACCATATCCCTAAGCTCTACATCTAAATGTCTTTTAAAGACTTCCAGGGATGGTGACTCCACCACCTCCCTGGGCAGCCCGTTCCAGTGTCTAACAACCCTTTCGGTAAAGAAGTTCTTCCTAACATCTAACCTAAAACTCCCCTGGTGCAACTTTAGCCCATTCCCCCTCGTCCTGTCACCATGCACGTGGGAGAACAGGCCAACCCCTCCTCGCTACAGCCTCCTTTAAGGTACCTGTAGAGAGCAATAAGGTCACCCCTGAGCCTGCTTTTCTCCAGGCTGAACAGGCCCAGCTCCTTCAGCCTCTCCTTGTAGGACTTGTTCTCCAGGCCCCTCACCAGCTTCATCGCCCTTCTCTGGACCTGCTCAAGCACCTCCATGTCCTTCTTGTAGCGAGGGGCCCAAAACTGAACACAGTACTTGAGGTGCGGCCTCACCAGAGCCGAGTACAGGGGGACGATCACCTCCCTAGCCCTGCTGGTCACACTGCTTCTGATACAAGCCAGGATGCCGTTGGCCTTCTTGGCCACCTGAGCACACTGCTGGCTCATATTCAGCTGACTGTCCACCATCACTCCCAGGTCCTTCTCTGCCTGGCAGCTCTCCAACCACTCATCTCCCAGCCTGTAGCTCTGCTTGGGGTTATTGCGCCCCAGGTGCAGGACCCGGCACTTGGCCTTGTTGAACTTCATGCAGTTGACCTCAGCCCATCGGTGCAGCCTATCCAGATCCTCCTGCAGAGCCTTCCTACCCTCGAGCAGATCGACACACGCACCTAGCTTGGTGTCATCTGCAAACTTACTGAGGGTGCACTCAATGCCCTCATCCAGATCATCGATGAAGATATTCAAGAGGACCGGCCCCAGCACCGAGCCCTGGGGAACGCCACTAGTGACCGGCCTCCAACTGGACTTGACTCCATTTACCACGACTCTTTGGGCCCGGCCATCCAGCCAGTTTCCAACCCAACGAAGCGTGCACCAGTCCAAGCCTAGGGCAGCCAGTTTCTTGAGGAGAATGCTGTGGGAGACGGTGTCAAAAGCCTTGCTGAAGTCAAGGTAGACCACATCCACAGCCTTTCCCTCATCCACCCAGCGCGTCACTTTGTCATAGAAGGAGATCAGGTTCGTCAAGCAGGATCTGCCTTCCATAAACCCATGCTGACTGGGCCTGATCGCCTGCTTGTCCTGCAAGTGCTGCGTGATGACTCTCAAGAGAATCTGCTCCATGAGCTTCCCTGGCACTGAGGTCAAACTGACAGGCCTGTAGTTCTCCGGGTCAGCCCTCCGGCCCTTCTTGTAGATGGGCGTCACGTTTGCTAGCCGCCAGTCAACTGGGACCTCCCCCGATAGCCAGGACTGCTGATAAATGATGGATAGGGGCTTGGCCAGCTCCTCTGCCAGTTCTCTCAGTACCCTTGGGTGGATCCCATCCGGCCCCATTGACTTGTGCACATACAAGTGCCGTAGCAGGTTGCCAACCAGTTCTTTGCGGATAGTGAGGGCCACCTCCCGCTCCCTGTCCCCTTCCACCAGCTCAGGGTACTGGGTATCCAGAGAACAACCGGTATTGCCGCTAAAGACTGAGGTGAAGAAGGCATTGAGCACCTCCGCCTTTTCCTCATCTCTTGTAACTAAGTTTCCCCCCGCATCCAGTAAAGGATGGAGATTCTCCTTAGTCCTCCTTTTTGTGTTGATGTATTTATAAAGACGTTTTTTGTTATCTTTAACGGCAGTAGCCAGATTGAGCTCCAGATGAGCTTTGGCCTTCCTAATTTTGTCCCTGCAATATGCTGTGATTCTGTGATTACTGGACCAAAGAAGGTGATTTATCCGAACACCAGGCCTTACATCCCAACACCACCAAACACCAAGCACCCCAAGGCAATGGGCACCCAAACATCCCTCCGACACAGCGGGCCGACCAGCCCAACACCGTGTGAGGAGTTGGACTTGGTGGTCCTGAAGGGTCCCTTCCACCTCGGGGTATTCAGTGATCCTATAATGCACACCGCCCAACTCCACAAAGGGCATAACCCCGCCCTCCATTGTGAGGTCACGCCGCGCACCCTATAAATTCCAGGCGCACGGCCCCATTGCCAGTAGCAGACGCTGTCTCTGCACTGGTGCGACTGGTGCGACTGGCAGTAGACGCTACAGGGTCAGGGGCTGCTGGCCCTCGCAGACCCAGTGAAGGTGACCGACCGTCAGTGGCCAAGGGCCACAGCAGTCAGAGTTCAGCCAATTCTTCCTGTCCCCGTGGCCATGGTGCGGGACATTGCAGGAAGGGGACCGATGGGGCCCAGCCGCCCCACGCCCCGATGGAGCCCAGCGCAGCTCAATGGCAGCTCTGCGCAGCAGGAGGAGCGCAGGCTGGAGCTGCAGGCACTGCGTGCCAAACTGGAGGCCGAGCGCCTCCACAACCAGGAGCTGCGGTGCCACTTCGCCGCAGAGATTTGCAAAATGAAGGAGGCGGAGGAGAGGGAGCGGCAGCTGCTGGTGCAGCAGCTGCAGCGCGAGTGGGAGAGGCAGCAGGCCCTCGACGTGCAGCGGCTGCAGGAGCAGCAGCAGGCAGCAGCGCGCCACCGAGACCCAGCAGATGCTGCGCTGGAAGGCGGCCTGAGCTGCAGGCAGCGCAGGAGCCGCTGCAGAAGGAGCGCGACGCTACCACGCACCAAGCGCGGGAGCTGCAGCGGCAGCTGGCCGACGAGCTGCAGGAGGCCTTGCACGAGCAGCAGCGCAGGCCCGCGCCAAGCTCCAGGCTGTCCTCAAGGAACTGCGCTGGGAGATGCATGGGGACCAGCCTGCCCGCATCCGCCAGCTGCAGCATGAGCTGAAGCTGGAGAAGAAGCTTTTCGTCAAGTACATTGTGGCGGGCTTCGAGGACGAGCAAGAGGACAGCCAGGGAACAAAGGGCCAAGAAGACCAAGAAGGGCCCTTGGGCAAGGCAGAGCCAAAGACGCCAACACGGGCTCAGCCTGCCCAGGACGCACCTCAGCAGGGAGCCAAGGAAAGCTGTGGCTCCGAGAAGGGCAGCAGCCGCCGCCCTGTGAAGGACGCTCACGTCCAGGTGAGGAGACAGGCTGAGGAAGCTGGGGGTGAGAAGGCTCCGGGGAGACCTCGGGGCGGCCTGAGGTCCCTAGAGGGGGCTACGCGAAAGCTGGGGAGAGACTCTGTCAGGGAGTGCAGTGGGGGGCTCAGAGGAACGGCCTGAGGCAGAGGAGGGCACGTTTGGGTCAGGTATCAGGAAGAAATCCTTCCCCGGGAGGGCGGCGAGGCCCTGGCGCAGGCTGGGGGGGCCCCAAACCTGGCAGGGGCTGGAATGAGGTGGGCTTTGAGCTCGGGCTTTGAGCTCCCTTCCAACCCGACCCTTTCTCTCATTTGGTGATTGCAGGTTCCAGAACCTTCCGACCAACACAAGGTGCTGCCAGGCACGCTCAGGTGGATGCTGGAGCAGCACGCCCACCTCCAGCGAGCCATGAGCGGCCTGGAGAAGCAACGCCAGGCCCTGGAGGCAAAGCAATGCCTCCTGAGAGAGGCAAGCACCAAGGAAGAGTGCCAGGAGCTCCAGATGCTCCAGGAAGCCAAGGAAAAACTGGTGGTGCTTACCGAGCAGCTGGAGGAGAAATGCAGATCCCTGCTGAAGATCATCCACCAGGCCAGCAAGACTCCAGGGCCTCCACCCAGCCAAAGCTCTGCTGAGGCACTGCCACCTTGTGAGAGTGCCCCCAGCCCAAGCGAGGAGGTGCTGGTTGCCCAGCTCATGCAGCTGAGCAAGGAGAAAAACCGACTGGAGGAAGAAAATTCTCGCCTCCAAAGGCAGCTGGACGCAGCAATGGAAGTCCAAGCTGAAAATGCTGACCTGAAGAAGCAGGTAGAAAAAATGGCAGAGGAGCAAAACTCTGCCCTGCAACAGGTCAGCGAGCTTCAGGCCCAGCTGCAAGAGGCAGAGTGCCAGCTGAAAGCGCTCAAGGAAATTGCAGATAGAGGGCCACAGCTGGAGAGAGAACACCTGGAGACACAGCTGGCGCTCCAGAAGAAAGAACAGGAGCTCGAGAGCTTGCAGAGAGCTCAGGCAGAAGGCAAGAGGCAGCACGAGGAAGCCTCGCAAATGTTACGAGCCCAGGTCGCCGACCTGGAAGATCGGTGCCACCATCAAACCAAACAACTCAAGCTGCTCGCTGAGGAGCTGCAGCGGCTGCAAAGCGAGCAATCCAGCCCTGCCACTACCCGTCTGCCACAGCTCTCACCTACCCACCCAGCCACCTCCGAATCCCAACCGGCAGAGGACAGCCCAGGGCCCTGCCTGCCTGCAGAGGAGGGCGCTGCGGATGAGAGCCAAGAAGCGGAAACTTGGCAGCAGCCCTTCGACCTGCAGGCTTCACTGGGACAAGGACCAGCAAGGATTCGGAAATTCCTAGCTCTGAACAGCTATGACCCTGCTGATAGTCCCAACAAGCATCTGGAGCGAGAGCTTCCCCTCACGGCGGGGCAGTTTGTTTATGTCACTGGGGAGATGGATGAGGATGGCTGGTATATAGGAGAGCGGACAGACGGCAGTAGAGGCTTCGTCCCCTCCAATTTGGTGGAAGAAGTGTTTGACGACCTGAGCTTGACAGCAGTGCCGCCAGATCTGGGGGATGTCCTTCTGGACACCAATGAGGGGGAGAGCTCCACTGACAGCAGCAGCAGCAGCAGCAGCAGTGGGGAAGCCAGGGATGATCTGGACAAAGAAATCTGTCCCGATATGATGGCTGCATGGGCCGTTGCAGAAGCCTTCCTGGAGGAGCTGCGTGACGTGCTCAAAGAGGACGAAAAAACCTCCAGGGAAGGAAACGATGATTCCAGCGACCCCTTCTGTCTCTCATTCATGATGGAGGAGGAGAAAGATCAGGGTGGGGGTGCCGATGGCACCAAAAGTCAATAAAACTGTCAACAATAATGAGCCTGGCCTTGGTGATTCTTCTCCAGAAGGTTTATAGAAATGGAGAAGGACTTCTTTGCCCTGCAGGTCACTGCACGCTGGAACAGGTTGGCCAGTGTTATAAATGAAGTCTCAACTCAATCTAAATTGTGTAATATTTATAAAACAAATATTTCTAAAAGGTATAAAAGGCAAGTCAACAGTGCTGGGTGTGCGGGGAGTCTATGCTCCACCAACACGCACACACGAACATCAAACATTCTAAATATACAGAACATCGCTTTCCATACTAAACCCGAGTATGCCTATACATAAGTACAATCAGGAAAGGTAACAAACAATCCTTTAAGTTCCATGACTTAACAGTCTCCATATTCCATTCCTTTTCTTGACCACAAATAAGGCTCCATTTTCCATTCCTTTTGAACGATATGTCTCGCTTTAAGTTGTCAAGCAACTCGGTCTTTGGGCCTTATGTATCCCGTTCTTCCCGGATTGAAGAAAAGCATATCCATCTCCTTTTCAAGGCCCTACCCCAACCCTAACCGTAACCCTAAACTTAACCCCAACCGTAACCCTAACCTTAACCCCTACCCCAACCCCAACCCTAACCCTAATCCTAACCCTAACCCCAAGCCATAACCCTAAACCATAACTCTAACACTAGCACTAACCCTAACCCTCACCCTCAACCTTACCCTCACATTAAGCCTCACCCTCACACTTACCCTAACCCAAACACTAACCCTAACACCTAACCCTAACGCCAACCCTAACCCTAACCTTAACCCTAAACCTAACCCTAACCCCAAAAAGTGCCCCCAAGGGAAGCCTTTGGGTACACCTTAATTCCCCAGCGGAGACTTTACGCAACCCCACATGCAACTGGACTCTGTGTTCGCTTTTTCTAAACAACCCTAAACGTAACCCTAACTGGAACACTGAGACGAATATAAAAGAGGGCCCCAGAAAATGCGTACAGAGCCCCTTTCTCCCATCAAAAAAAGCCCCCAACAGAAACCTTTGGGTACAGCTGAACTCCCCAGGGGAGCCTTTCCGCAACCCCCCACACAGCATGACTGTTCTTTTCACGGGCATCAAATTCCAAAATGAGAACTACTCTTAACTGAAGGTTTGCTCCACAAACGTCCTGTTATGGCTGTTTTGTCTCTTTATTGTTTTGTTTTGTATTAAAAACATCCATATGCAACAACACGAGGCTGCAAGAGGAGACGTTCAGTCTTAATATCAGGAATTGTGTCTTAGAAACGTGGTCAGGCTCTGGAACTTGCTCCTGCTGAAAGGTTTCATGACACCAATCTGCCAGTGGTCAGGAAGTGTTTGGACAATGATCTCAGACGTATGGTGTGTTAAAGAATGCTCCCGTGTGGAGCCAGGAATTGGACTTGATGATCGTCATGGGTCCCTTCCACCTTGGGATATCACAGAATCACAGAATTTCTAGGTTGGAAGAGACCTCAAGATCATTGAGTCCAACTTCTGACCTAACACTAACAGTCCCCACTAAACCAAATCCCTAAGCTCTACATCTAAACGTCTTTTAAAGACTTCCAGGGATGGTGACTCCACCACTTCCCTGGGCAGCCTGTTCCAATGCCTAACAACCCTTTCGGTAAAGAAGTTCTTCCTAACATCTAACCTAAAACTCCCCTGGTGCAACTTTAGCCCATTCCCCCTCGTCCTGTCACCATGCACGTGGGAGAACAGGCCAACCCCTCCTCGCTACAGCCTCCTTTAAGGTACCTGTAGAGAGCAATAAGGTCACCCCTGAGCCTGCTTTTCTCCAGGCTGAACAGGCCCAGCTCCTTCAGCCTCTCCTTGTAGGACTTGTTCTCCAGGCCCCTCACCAGCTTCATCGCCCTTCTCTGGACCTGCTCGAGCACCTCCATGTCCTTCTTGTAGCAAGGGGCCCAAAACTGAACACAGTACTTGAGGTGCAGCCTCACCAGAGCCGAGTACAGGGGGACGATCACCTCCCTAGCCCTGCTGGTCACACTGCTTCTGATACAAGCCAGGATGCCGTTGGCCTTCTTGGCCACCTGAGCACACTGCTGGCTCATATTCAGCTGACTGTCCACCATCACTCCCAGGTCCTTCTCTGCCTGGCAGCTCTCCAACCACTCCTCTCCCAGCCTGTAGCTCTGCTTGGGGTTATTGCGCCCCAGGTGCAGGACCCGGCACTTGGCCTTGTTGAACTTCATGCAGTTGACCTCAGCCCATCGGTCCAGCCTATCCAGATCCTCCTGCAGAGCCTTCCTACCCTCGAGCAGATCGACACACGCACCTAGCTTGGTGTCATCTGCAAACTTACTGAGGGTGCACTCAATGCCCTCGTCCAGATCATCGATGAAGATATTAAAGAGGACCGACCCCAGCACCGAGCCCTGGGGAACGCCACTAGTGACCGGCCTCCAACTGGACTTGACTCCATTTACCACGACTCTTTGGGTCCGGCCATCCAGCCAGTTTCCAACCCAACGAAGCGTGCACCAGTCCAAGCCTAGGGCAGCCAGTTTCTTGAGGAGAATGCTGTGGGAGACGGTGTCAAAAGCCTTGCTGAAGTCAAGGTAGACCACATCCACAGCCTTTCCCTCATCCACCCAGCGCGTCACTTTGTCATTCCTCTGCAGGGATCCTACCCTTGAGCAGGTCAACACTCCTGCCCAGCTTGGGGTCATCTAGGAACTTAGTGAAGGTGCACTCAATCCCCTCATCCAGATCATTGATAAAGGTATTGAAGAGAACTGGCACCAGTACTGAGCCCTGGCCCTACTTCTTACACTATTTGTGACTGGCCTCTAACTGGATGTCTTTTTTCACCTTTTGTATAATGCATTTTTGCTGTCAGATGACCAAATGGCTCCTGACTCAGGCACCCTGGGTTCTTTCATCACTGTCCTTGCCAGAAGGATAGCTTCCTATGGGACCTTCAGTATATGAACGTTTACCAAACTGCCTGTTTCCTTCCTTCCTTTCCCCTTTCAGCCCCTCCCTGAAGGACCTTCACTATCAATTCCCTGAATGTGTGGAAATCTGCCTTACAGGAGTCATTTGGTCTTGCTCTCCCCTTCTCAATCCTCCTCACCAATGCATGAGCTCCAATTGTTTTTGAGCAAGTTCCTCTTTATTACTCATATCTATCACAGCCTTATCTGGCCGTGTCTCCTGTAGCTGCCTCCACACTTTGAAACAGAAAGTTGTCCCAACACATTCCAAAAACTTGAGGAATAGTGCTCTGCTGCTTTTTGTGGTTTTGTTTTTGATTTTTCTTACAACAGATATCTGATTAGATAAAGTCCTTGATTACCACTACCTCATATCCTCAGTACGCTTCTGGTAGTTGCTCAAAAAAATTGACATCGACCTCCTCTTCCTCTTTAGGTGATCATTAGTAGAACCATACTGTTCCTCTCTATTTTATCTCCAACAGCTCTGTCCCTCCCCACTTTCTGGCCACGCATTCATAATATGCCAGATAATACTCTTCCCTTTTCTCCTGCCTGTCCTTCCCACACAAATTACACTCTCCAATAATATTAAAGTGCTGCAATTTATTCTGCAGAGTCTGTGTGATGCTGATTAAAGTGTAGCCTTTGTTGTGTCCCAAGACTTCTAGTTCTTCCTGTTTATTCTCCATACTCTTAGCATTAGTGTAAAGACATCTCAGATGTTTGGCAGTTTGCCCTTACATTATCCCTTCTGTCCTTCTATGGTCCTCCTGCAATTTCCCATTTCCACCCCAGAAATGAGTTGTCAACCAGACCTCCAATTTTCCTATTCACCTGCGGTCCCTCCTGCCCTCCCAGATGAAAGCCAGTGTCCTTGAATCCTGCTCACTGGTTCTTCCCTAATGCTAAAATTCTGTCACTCTGAGAAATAATGGTATTTTGCTAATTAAGCAATGCTCTGCAAGATGGAAATTCCCCTGAGAGTCTTCATAAAGAACAGGGTGGAAAGTTGTTAGTAGAAAAGGGTTCTTGGGGGATAAAAGTCCCCAGGCTGATTTCAGGCTCCCCAGCTCCAGAGACAGGGTTGACAGCAGATGTAATTAAAACAAACACTAGTTTTGCAGCAGCTCGTGGTGGCCCGAATGCTAGCATGTGACCAAATATAGGGGCCCATCAGGCTGAAGCCAGGCAATACTAGCCCCAGTTAAAACCTTGGAAGAACCCTTCCTAATTTCCAGCTGTACAATGCACTAAATAATAACGTGTATTCACTGAGATTGGTCAGACCGAGCGGTGCTTTGCAGGGCTGTAGTCATCGAGGAATAGGCAGCTGATGAGCACAGCAGGGGTAACACACTGACTCTCCTCCCTCGAACAGCTGGAACATCCACAGTTTACAACCGGCCTGACATCGCAAAGCAACAAGCACAAATATTTGGAAATCTAACGGTATAATATAGCTGGATGCTGACAGGAGAGCCCCACTCCAGAGGAAAAAAACTCCTCACAGCACATAGCCGCTATGCGAGAGGACAAATTGCACGCTATTGCAACCTACTGTCCTGCTGCCCAGCCTCTGGATGACTGACAGGCCTGAACGTCAGTCACTCGGCTTCCCCAAGGCTTCAGATGTGCTTCTGAAGTAAAGGTGGAGAGATTACAAAGAAGGAAGCTTCATTTAATGTCAGCGACTTTGTCCCTCCACTAGCATTTGAGGTTAAACTCTGAGGTGTGAAAAATGAACCTGCTAATTTTGCATGTCAGTGAACAGACTAAGCTCTCATCTACATGGAGATAATGGAGAGGAAGGCTGGACCCATTGGTCATGTGAGGAGCGAGGGAGTACAACATTTTTCCACCAAAAAAAAAAAAAAAGGTAAAAATACAGCCCCCATAAATAAATGTAAGAGAGAACTTGGGGTCCATAAAGGGGGAACAGCACTTGCAAAGAAAGGCCTTAAGCTCCAAACCATTTTTTTCCATTCAAATACTCATTATTTAATTTTTCTGATGGATAATATCTGTATTTCAGAGAAGTGCAGGTCATATTTTTGTGTGTTTGAGCAACACAGCCAGTGGGATGGATGAATTGGGTAACACTCACTGATAGGCATCCCACAGCCAGGCAGGCTGTCTTCAGCTGTCTTCT